CGGGAGAACCCCTGAAAGAGGGCGTGGGTTGTGGTTGCTGGTTCTAAAAGAAAAGGAAAGAAAGGGGGGGGGGGAGGGGGGGTAGGAGGAGAGCATAGTATAAACAGATTTGCTTTTGCGCGCTTTCCTGTTCTTTCTTTCTTTCTTTCTTTCTTTCTTTCTTTCTTTCTTTCTTTCTTTCTTTCTTTCTTTCTTTCTTTCTTTCTTTCTTTCTTTCTTCCTCATAGAGCATATTCTCTCTTCTGTTTTTATTCCTACGGAGGAAAAATCAGAAACGGGCCACTTGAGGGGATGAGATTCTCCAAAGAAGCGGTGGGGAAACTGCACATCTTATGGACTACAGAGCTTGACTCTGTTGCCACTAAATCCCGGATGGCACAGACAGAAAAATGACAAAACAACAACAACAAAAACACCCAACTCTCACCCCCCATCTTAACCCAACATGTAAACAACAAAATGTTGTTGTGCGGAAGATGCATTGATAGTGTGTCAGTAGGGATAATCTGTGCCTGATTTAGAAAAAGCTAAGAGGGAAGAACTAGAAGCTGCAGCTAGGCGCGGATTAATCCACGAATGGAAAAGAAGAGAAAAAAAATCTAAATAAACTATAAGCTTTAACATATCTCTGCCTCCCTCCAGCCAGAGATACTATTAAATGAAGGGAAAAACTGGTTTGAACCTCACCGATGTAATCCTTTGCTTGGAACAGATTTTTATTCGCACTTTCCTTCTGATGCAGGCGAAAGTTGTAAATTGGAATCTTTGCGCTGCCGCCTCTGGGCCCAGTTTAAAGAAAACAAAACCTCTCTCTCTCTCTCTCTCTCTCTCTCTCTCTCTCTCTCTCTCTCTCTTGGTTGTCAGCCTCTCGCTTTAATCTCGGAATGGTTTGACACAGATTGAGCAACAGATTGAGATGACAGAATACTTAACTAAAGGGAACGAAAAGGAAATCTGAAATGTGTTAATTGATTCCCTTTACAAGAATATATATATATTTTTAAATCTGAATAGATGTATGTTTGTATTTTTTCGTTCTCTCTAATCAGAAACTAATTTTAGACGCCTCGATTAATAGCAGGTACCGGCTCCTATCAGAGCAGCCCGGGAGATTTGGAGTTTATGAAGTGCAGACCAGTGAGCGTCTCTACTGCGAGATAATTCATCTGAGATAATGAAAGAGGCTGTGGAGATGCATGCAATCATTCACTGTAATCATGGCTCGTTTATTTGTCTCTTCTTTCCTCTGCAGACTCAGCTCGGAGTCACCGGTGTCACCATGCCACGCGTGAGGGACGCGGTCCGAGGAAGGAGAGGACAAAACAAGGTTCAGTCCTGAACCGAGCAGGTGATTAGCTGCGTTCTGTGAGCATGTTGAAGGCCTATCCAAAGCCCAGAGCGAGGCACAGAGCCGAACCACGGCTGAGGCAGCCGCTCTAGGCCGGGCTACCGAGGGGGGATACTCCGGGTTTAGAGAGAAGTGATCATCCGGGACTGGCGCTGTGATCAGCTGAGAGTACCGGGGGAGAGGAGGGAGGCAGAGGGGTCCACCGGTCCGCTCCCCATTTCTGCTGATATCGATTTATTCTTCTGTTTTATTTTCCTTTCTTTTATTTTCTCTTCTTTTCTTTCATTCCCTTTTCTTTTTCTTTATTTTATTTCCTTCTCTTTTCTTCAAATATTTCGCTCAGGGAAACAAAGAGAAATAAAGGCTTTTACCCGAAACGGACTTTGATTTCTGACGTTTTAACTGCTTCAGACTCTGATCTGGGCCTTGGAAATGTATGTGTTTATTTTTGTCCATGGATCAAAATTCATTCACACTGACTGACAGGAACCAGCAATAGGCTTTTTTTTTTTTTTTTTTACAAATTGCGCGCTGCCTAAGAAGTTCCGCTAAGTGCTTTGAAGTGAACTGGGCGGAAAGGCGCAGTTTAACGGAGTGTTTCCTTTTCGGTTGCACTATGCAACACGGTGACATGTTGGCGGTGTAACCCACATGTGACGACGGGTTACCCGGGTCAATGCTTGGGTTGAGACAAGCCCACACCCACTCCAACACGCCGTCAGCCCAAAACATATTCCGATGTGAACTCAGCGCAGATTATTGAACCAGCAACAACTCTGAGCAAACATTTTTCCAGACTCCCCAACTCCGCTGCTGCCTGTGCTGAGAGAAATCCGATGGGATTTATAGATCATCTCCCTACAGCTGTCGCTTCTCAGCCGGTCAACCCCTGCTGACCCCCCGCCTCCACTATAGATCGACCTCAGCATCGCAAACGCTCCAATATTCGGAGGTTCGATCAGACCCAGAACCATCAGCAGACAGAGCCTCCGCTGCAGCCCGTTTTATTCGGGGTGTGTTGGGGGGTGGGGGTGAGTGGAGGTGTCGTGTAATACGTCATGTATTAGCGGCTCTGAGCTCGGGAACAGGAACCCGCCGCGAGACTCTGGGGTCAGTCAGAGAAAAGGCCGCGATCAACATCTCGTTTCCTCCTCTAGGGGGCGAATTCAGTCCGGACAAAGAAAGGGCGCACAGGCCGTGACACTTTATTTTGACATTATGTTTTCATTTTTATTGTATGGCCTCCAAACTGAAGCATCGCTGATCCTCAGTGAAGCATTCAGTAAAGAAAAATCACAGAGGATCTATGATGATCTACAATGTTCTACTTTAGGAAGCTTTTATAGTTAATATTACAATTCCAATTATAATCTTAATAATTTGTCTACTACTACTATTATTATTATTATTATTATTATTATTATTATTATTATTATTATTATTATTATTATTATTATTATTATTATTATTATTATTGTTGTTGTTGTTGTTGTTGTTGTTGTTGTTGCCATCATCATCATCATCATCATCATCATCATCATCATCATCATCATCATCATCATCATCATCATCATCATTATTTTATATGCCTATGTTGAATGAAAAGCTATTTTTCTATCCTGTAATAGGTTATATTAATAAAAAATAGAACATTGGTTTTCCTTGATTAGTCCGAACAAAAAGAGAGTTTTTTGTGAAGATACTGCAGAATCAGCCTCACTGAGAGATTATCCTGCACACTGGGCCTAGAGCAGCCTGTAAAGCAGTTCCCCTAGTTTAGATTAATGGTACTGCGCGATTATTCTGCAGTCGGGGTGAAAGGGCTGGGATCACTAATGATTATAATATAATGTGTGGCGATAACCACTCCCTTTGAGATATTATCGCCCGCTGGCCAATGCTCAGGGGACGAGCTGCATGGCTGCAGAGCGCCTGATAGCTGCTGCCGCTCCGGCTGCTGCTGCAGCGGATTTTCAGAAATGAGGGGGGAAAGCGTGGAAAGCGGGAGTGGTGGCTGCTGATACATGCATTAAAATATGGAGAGGAGAAAGCTGGGCTCTCATTTATTGGCCCTTTTTGTTTCCCTTGTCTGTTTCCTGGAAATTATAACGCCATAAAGATTTATATATATTTAATGCAAGAACACCCTGGACCTTTCAAATCACAGCAGGGATTTTAACCAGAACAGCACGTTCTTATTGTTTTTAACTGCAGCAATCTTCCAGGGATTTAATTGCTCCCAGAATGCAACATTTAGCTCTTTAAAGGGCTTGTGGCTGCGAGAAGAAAAATGCTACATGAAAACATTGTTTCGAAAAAAAAGAAAGAAATGTTCCCAACGATTATTTGTTTGCTAGAGAAACTGAAATGATAGATATGATTTTATTCAAAAGACCGGAACATAATATTTTCATTATTTGAGGCCTTCTAACAGCCCACGTGAGATTTTGTTTCACCTTTTTGTAAAATTTATTGTATTCTTTTTAGCTTCAGTTGAGTTCTTTCCCACTTACTATAAATCTCATGCCTACCTTCATCTCCGTATACGGAGATGGTGCCGTTTTAGAGACAAATAAAAGTAATAATAATAATAATAATAATAATAATAATAATAATAATAATAATAAAATAACTATTATCTAATGATAATTGCACTGCTCTAGTAACAGCTGATGAATTTTAAAAAGCAAACGTGGACATGTGAGCTCTCTAATGTGGATCATCTCGGAAGGCCTGAGAAATACATTAATATTAAATCTGGGGAAATTATGAGAGTTTCTCCTGATACTCCTCCTTCGTACAGCTACAAGTATGAATTGAATTTTCTCTCTCCATAGTCAATAAAATCAAAAGTCAAAAATATCAGACAGGACCCAGAAAGCAGCTTGGTGTTAATGCAGCGCAGAACTTTTCTAAAGCCGATTAGGCAGAAAATCCAGAATAATTATCAGAATTAGCTGATCAATAGTCTAAGAAACGAAACAGAGAGTGCTTGGGAGGGAGCGGGAGGACTGTGGAAGGAAAACTGAAGTGACTGATCCTGCTGCGGTGCTCGCACAGCAGCCGCTCCCGCTATCCATCTTCACCGGAGCTTTTGTGTGCGCAAAAACCAAAGGAGCGCAGAAGGTAAAGCCCAGCGTCAGAGCCGCGGCTTTCTTTTTTATATCCAATAGATCAGGAGGCAGACAAAGCTTTATTTTCGCCAGGAGAGAGATATTTTACCTCTGCCTTACGGTTTTATGTTGGAGAGGTGTCAGCCACTGGAAATGGATGGCTAATGCATAGGCAAAGCGCTGCTCGCCTCGGCATGCTGCACGTCAGAGGGGGGCTGCGGGAAAGAGCTGTGGGGATTTAAGGCCCCTGGGGGCCCAGAACGGGATGACGGAGCAACAGGGGCGACAGAATCGACAGAAGCCTCTTCGGCTGTACCGATAGAGCTCATAATGAAACAACGCAGGCATTAGACAAGACCTATCCCACACTGCTGCTGTCCCAGTATTTCTGCATAACCATGTGAAAAACACACAAGCCTATCCATCTGCAGCACGTCAGACTAGACGACCTTATAAAATATATGGAGTAGAATATATATTTTTAGAGAAGGTAAAGCATGTAGAAGTGAAAACTGTTCTCCCCTGTGGAGAAGCTAACCTCAACATATACTCAGCACCAACACGATGAGCCATGTTTAAATGGAGTTTTTTCCCTGAAGTCAGGCGATGAATGAGTAATTTAAAAACCTCCTTTGATTTCCAAATAGAACTGTAGTTCTTTAAATAATCTGCTGCTTTACTCCACTGTCTTCATGACTGTAAAGAAAACATCGGAATGCCCAAAAGGCAACTTATAAAAAATGTTGGAGTACAATTAGAAACTGAGGCAGTTGTAGAGGAGCTTACAGAACTAACAGGATGGTAACATTTGACATTCATATTTAGATTGGAAAAAGAAGATGGAACATTAAAAATGGCTCTTTAAGACAATTTTTAGACTGATTTACAGGGAAACTGCAAATGTCCAAAAGCTTAAGAGGAAAAAGTGTTGTGAAAGAAGTTTGAACATACAGGAGACTTTATTTGGTGGGAAAATTTTGATTGGAGTTTTTTTTGTTTTTTTTGTTTTTGGCAATAATTACTCAGATTGAGACCTGTTTGTGATTACATGTTATGTATTTACTTATTTGTGTTTTGGAGTTAAAGGAGAAATTTTAAGATACTTTAGTGTAAAAAAACAGGTAATGACCAATCAACATGCAGGGACAAGAATGAACTGTTTCATTTTTCAGGAAGTAGAGTTTTGCCTCCTAGAGTCAAGTTTATTTGTCAACAGGATAAATTTGGTCTTTGTTGAATGTCCAGCAAAGACCACAGATATACTGTAAAGGGTTTTCTGTGAAACTAAACTTACTTTAGCATATCTTAAGAATGCAAAAAATAAATAAATACATAAAATAAAAAAACAATACTTCCAATAAATCAGTCAAAATCAGTCTGAAACTCGGTGTTGGCTGATTCCTCTGTGCAACCTTTTCTACATCTCTGCATAGTTTTATAGGCTAGTTGTTATAATCTCATCCTCTGTTAACTCACTTACATAAATGCAGTTTCCTCGCTATATGCAGCAAAGTGGTAACAAGATTTACAATGCTGCTGGAAACAGAGGGCCTCCCTGTCATATTTCTCTCCCATGCTAAATAGAAATCTTAAGAAGTAATTGGAATTTACAGCATACCTGAATAACTGCATATAAATAAGCATACATTTCATCAGGGGGTTCAGTGACACTGTTTGGTGGCATAAAAACTGCTGCATATATTATAATATGCAGCAAATAATCTTATTTTGCTGCAGCCCTTTGCTACATGCTTGGGATTCCATCCAAATTACAGAGGATTCAAACAAGCGTTTTCAATTGATTAAACCTATATGGGCAACATTTCATTTTAATGGGACAATTTATTTCTGGGAAGAGATTATCAAGGGCTGCTGGAAACCATGGCAGTGTGTAAATCTGACACTGTTTATTTCATTTAAAGTCAGGCAGCCTCATTCAGCTCAGGCCTCCTTCGTCTGAGTGCAGGAGGGGGGTTTCAGGTGTCGCCAAGGCCTCATCTTCCTCACCTTCCTCTGTAGTTACCAGACAAAACAAGCTTGTTGACTTTGGCCTGGTCTCCCAGAAAAATTCTCCAATTCTCATCACCTTTATGAGTTTGCATTCTCTTTCTGAATTTGGAGGAGGAAGACGCAAATCCTCTGGATGGGATTGGCAGTCATGGCCCAGGCTCACGGTCAGATAATCACAGGATGGAAAGTGGCCTGACCCCCTCGCCTCCGCCCCGCTGCCTCCTGTTGAGGCCGCTCAGTGGATTTAGAGATAATGACATCAGCACCTGCATTAAGATTCATATTCACCATCTCTCCATACGACCCTGTTTTCCTTTTGTCCCAGACTTGTGTCAAACACCTGCCAGTCTTACTGTGTCTCTGGTAATAATCAAAGCTGGGCAAAAACTGTAATGCACATCCTTAGAAGGGTCTGTCTGCTGCAGGCAAACTGGTCAGATATTAAACTATTTTAGATTCTTTTTCTTTTTTTTTCCGGATTCAGATAGAGCTGCATAGATATTTACCCACACAGCATGAAAAGAGGACTGCATGTTAGAACAGCTTTTGTTCTTTTAGCCTGCAGGAAGAAGGCAGGCGGTCTTTCTGCTCTGAGTCTGCATGCTCTCCTCAAGCATGAGTGTGTTCTCTCCAGTTACTCCAGCTTCCTCCCACATTCCAAAAACATGACCGTTAGGTTAATTGATCTCTCTCTGAAAATTGTTTGTGTGTGTGTGTGTTTGTGCTTGCGCATGCGTGTGTGTGTGTGTGTGTGTGTGTGTTCGGGGGCACACACACACACGGGGGCAGGGGTATGGTTTCTCATGTGTCCACACGAGAAAACATGAACTTTATTGTCCTTAAGCCGTGTTGTAACTGACTTGGTTCTATGTTTAAGGTCACTGTCTATTTTGAAAGACCCATTTGCACCCAAACCGTTAAGTTTCTAGAAGATGTCTTGCAATACTGCTCTAGTATTTTGACCTAATGTTCTTTCCTCATGTTACTATCAATTTTGTGAAGTGCACCAGTCCCTCCTTTAGGAAAGCAGCCCCACAACATGATGCTGCCACTGCTGCTAATAAACGAGCAGAGGCTGTTTGAGTCAACAGCGGACAGGAAGAGCGCAGGGATAAATGTGCATGGGACAGAAACACAGATAGATCCGCTGCCGTGTTTGCGGTGTTGGATGAAAGTTGAGAGAAAGTTGTAGCTTGGTTACCTTTTTATTATTGGCTTACAAACTTCCCCCATTTTAGAAAAGAAATGATGATCATTAGGGCCAAACACTTAAATTTTACCTTCATCTGACTACAAGATATGACACTAAAATTATTGTCTTTTCAACTCTTTTTAGAATTGGATGTGCATAATCACAGATACTGACACTATTACCCGGCCCTTAACACTGTGTTTTAGTTTTGTTCTTGGGTTGAAAACTTCCTGTGAATCCGCGGTGACCTCTGGGACGCAGACTTTCAACTGTAGTTGGACATTCTCTTGCAGTTTATATTTAGACCCACGGAGGTTCACAAGTCCCCTCTTAATATCTTGGCTGATTCCATAAAATATTTTCTTGGCGCCACAAAACAAGCTGTGTTTGAGGATATGCCTTAAAATAAACCCACAGACGGGCCTACATTGAACTTAAATGATGTGAATCAACCTTACAAAGGAATGAGATTATTATTTACGCTTTCCCAAAATGTTTGAAGGGTTAGTGCATGTATGTCAAACTCTTTTTTTTTTCAGACCACATCATGAATGTCAAAGGACATTGGCAGAATGTAGAGATAAAACTTCCAGTTAGCAAACTGTTGAAGTATATATTTCTCTGTATTTGATGGGTAATCCTTTTGAAGATCTTTTCAAATTGATGTAATTTGGCACTATCCAAATAACAACTGATATGATTTGACTGATAAAATAATATTTAAGAACAGTTAGAGTTCAGAGGGTCGTAGCAATAAAAATGGCAGCCACATTTGGTTTGCAGGCCTTGAGTTTGACACACGTGGTTTAGTACAGCAGTGCATGTAAATTTCTGAATTTAAAGAAAGTGATAAAACGTGTCTTAAAAATCTCTTTTTCTTAATATTCTGGGACGTAAAAAGTCTGCTGGTAGTCCTAAATGAACTAAAGCAGAAAAGGTTTAATCTGATTTAATGTCAGAGAGAGATTAAGATAACTGAACATGTGTTTTTTTTTCTAGTGTGTGTAAATATCTGGTTTCAGCTACAAACTCAACCTGTTTTCACTCTGCTGTAGTCTAAAATCACTTAATGTCCTGCAAAGGTTAAACTCAGACAGAATTTGTTGAAGGACACAATGCTAATCACAGAACTGATACAGCATCAGAACACAACAGACAAAAAGCGCTTTTATACTTTTCATGCAGCAAAAACAGTCTTTGCTCAAACTAACCCGACCACTGCACTGCTGTAACACAGACAGGCACACAGAAAACCCTAGCTGGCTCCCCTGCTGGCTCACAGAGCTGGAACTGTGGGAGGGAGGCCAAATTGTTTGTCTCTCCTTGTGTCAAGGCTCTGCAGCGGGGATGAGAGCGCGGGAAAAGCGTATCCGTCTCCGGCGTCTGGCTGATGGCTTCATCAGGTAAGAGCAACAGGGAGCTGAATGGTGAATGAACTTGAATGTCTATGTATGTGCGTGAGCAAGTGTGAGTGTATTACAGCTCAGTGCTAAAAATCTGAATGGTTTTTATTAAAACAGTAGACACCCGGACACCAAAGTCCTGTATTGTCTTAATAAAGGTGCTCATGTTTTATCTCTCTATCTTTGCATTAGTGAGGTGCAGGCTCAGCACCTTGAACGATGCGACGTAGTGAATCTACGTTAGCTACTTTAGAAAAGGAAAATGGCCTCACTGACAACCACAGTCCTTGCTGTAAACTCATTTCTTTTATGTAACATAAAACCACAAAGTACTCAGAAAAAACCCACACAGGCACACAGAGACCCACTCACACTCAGCTTTGAAATAAAAGTAAATCAGCTGAGCAGAGTGACGGCCACGCCTCTCTGTCAGGAGCTTAGCCCCTGCATTTGCCTTCACCTTAAAGTTTAAGGTAAATTTATGTACCTTTAGCTTTCAGAAGTGATTTTCTGCCTTTTAAATGATCTGTTAAAAAAATACGCCCCACAGAAATGATTTCAAGGACCATTTCTCTACAGGGTGCTATTCCGAGAGCTGGAACTTTACAAACTGAAATGACAACATGTGAGAAGTCAAGCTGTAGAGTTTGCAAAGTATATACTGTAAATGAGCTTAATATTCTATTATATACTTTTAATAATCAAAACCGCTCACCTGCATGTTTGACACCTAGAATGTATGATCAGGTTTGGAAATAAAAAGGTACACATGAAGACCAGAAGGACATTGTAAATGATTCCTTTTGCAAGAAGCTGGTATGTCTAGATTGGTACCTTATAAGTGGTGACATCACAACGGTGTACCAGACAGTGTGTGGCGTGTCTGTCAATGTGAGTGAAGGTCACCAGACACACAGGGTGCCGTGCAGACTCATAAGACCACACCGCCAGCTTTTGAAGAATTAAATGGGGTCACACATTTGGTTTGCATTAGGCTGAGTGGTCAAATACTACAATCGATCACTATTATGTGCACATTTATGTCAGTGATCCAAGATAGAAACTAACAGGTACATCATAGCACCTATATGTGATATCATCTAAGTTTTAAAAGTTTATTTTCAGACATTTTATAAAGAAATTGAACCCTCTACATGGTTCCATGTAGACACATTTACCAGTTTCTAAAATTACTTCAATCTAAGATCAGATTTACAATATAAAACAAGTTGCAAACCGTAGTTGATCAGTAAGCAAACATAAACGCAAAATGTAAATAACAGTGAAAAACAAAATCCACAACATGACTTGGTAGCCTTCAGCAGCAGTAACTTGGCAAAGTCAACTTTAACTTTTACATTAATATTTGCTCATTTTTTTATGTAAGACATTGTTTCATTGGTTGCAAGAACCTGTTCTGGCCCAGCTTTAGCTTCACTAATGATGACCTCACAAACCTCATTACAATACTATAATGAGGAGTTTATGTTCTTCTCACTGATAATCATGGGTTAGGGTTTATCAGTTGGAGCAGTGTTTGGTTTTCTGCTTCATGCATAACGCCTGATCACCTTGGTCATGCCTGTCCAAATGACGGTTTGGATTCATTCAGGCAAAAGTTTGCAAACCAAAGCAGACAGTCATGTTCATTTTAGATAAAAACTTTATCCTGGCAACCACAACAATCATCGAAGTTATACTGGTGTTTTTCCAGTTGACCTTGGGGAAGACTTGGCAGAACATCTACCCTTGAGAAAATTGTCAAGCATTTTGAAGATTTTTTTCCATACTGAATGTGCTGTGAATGACTTGGTATCGTTTGGAAGTGACGTCATCATCCGATTTCTTCATCCTTATACCCCAGTTGATGGGGAGTTGATTCTCTACGGTCATTGCTGATGTATTTCCTTCCAGGCCTTTTAGAAAGAAAAGGCTTCCTCTAGAAGTTCAAATGGTTGCATGTATAAACCTTTCCTGGGTTCTAAAACAATTTAATCTTAGATACAAAACAGGGGAGGCCAAACCTAGTCCTCAAGACATGCCACTCTGAAACTTTTAGGTGAATTCCTGCTCCACCTCAATCAAATGAATGGCTCAACGCCAGGCTGATGAGGGGATTCAGTCATTTGATTCCGGTCATTTAAAAGTAGCAGGATTGTATCATTCGATGACTGGACAAGGCCTGACTTACAACCTTACACAAGAAATTCCAGACTGTTATTGAACATTAAACAGATATGAAGGCAAAATGGAAATATGTGACAGCTGATGTTTTTTTTTCTTTCCGGACATCGTATTGATCAGTATATGTATGTTCTAGAGCAATAAACTGTTCATAGTACCATTTTGAAGGCTCTGACACTCGCTGATATTCTATTCAAGTGCATTTCATGAGCAGCGTCTGACTGCTATTTTTTTTTTCAAAACCTACAGAAGCAGTCAGGTTGTGCTTAATTTTTCCCATTTTTCCTATTTTGCCATGCTTTTTTTATTAATAAGAGAAGACTCTTGTATGTCTTTGTACACCTATGGTGGGATTTAAATGATTCATTTAATTTATTTACTGAATTCTGATATAGTTAAACCTGAAGTTAAAAGTTTCTTTTTATTCTGTCTATGCATTTCACCAATCTGTCTGTGATACTTCTTGGCTCATGCTGTGTGCAAATGTTGGTGGGATAGTTATGCCGCTGCATGGAAAACGCTTCTTCACTCCTGACTCTGCACTCCTGATAAGTTGAAAAGGCTAAAAGGTCACAACCTGAGAGGGGAATGTTTTACAATGACATGGGCAGGGAGGTCTAATTGGGCTCCACTGGAGCATGCTGCTGGTGACTTCACACCCATCCAGGGAGGAAGAGAGAGACACCCAGAGCAAAACCCGGTGAGAAAGAGGAAGGCGAAGAAGAATGGCAATGCAGGTCTGTGTGTGGTGAGGTTCGTCGGCCACTGATATGGAAGGGGGAGGGAGGGGGAGAGAGGGCTGTAAATAAGTCTTCAGGGTAGATGGATGGTCAGCAGTAGTTTCAGAGAGCGTCACCCTCCTTCGTCTTCCTTTTACGGAATCCAGCTAAGAATCAAGCTGAAGGTAGAGGAGCACTCTGATTTTTATCTGAGAGTTTTCTTTCACACCAAACCCTGAAGCCACAAAATGCTCAGACTGCATATATTTTAGACAAAGATCTCCTCAATGCAAATATTATCCATATGTATAAAGCATATTCCAGGAACTTCACAAAAATTATAGATCGATTTCTTGCGTCTCAATCACGTTTTGTTCAGACAATTTCCACTTTAATGAGTGAGAAGAAACAGATTTATCAACCACTTTTAATCTTTTAAATATTTAGAAAACCAAGTATTCTTTTTTTCACTGACATTTTGCTGACTTCACATTTTAAATTATTGGTTTTTATGATGCATCATTTTAATACTGAATTGTTATTTTTTGTTTCTTTTTTTGCTATTTCATGTTTTGTACATCAGTCAACTGTATCCTCATTAGTGATGCACAACAACCATCGGAGAACATTAAAACTTATGTTCATGAAGTGTATAAAATATGTTTAGATGAGGCTCATTGTCAGATTAAGATTCACATTTTAATTAAAATTATATTATATTCTAATATTTAATGCTGTGTTCTCATTTGTAAGCAGAACCTCATCATGTTTAACTATTAGAAAGGCTTGAAAACTTCAGTCTGTGTGGAATTAATCTATATAGTCTGTGAACTGGGTTACTGAAACAAGCTTTTCAGTAACACTCAAATGTATTAAATATCATTATCATGTACATAGATTCAGTAAATTTATAAGATCTGTGACTCAGAGTTTCTATGTCTCAGTCACAGACACAAGAACTAACATCAACCCTGTTAGAGAGCGGAGCTCCTTCAACCTGAGCCTCTGGCTGTTAAATGCTGGAAATCCAGGAGAAACATTCACAAAACAAACTGTTCCATGACTCAAATCAGCTTGTTTTTGTTGTTTTTGTTGTTGTTGTTGTTTTTTTACTACATAGTGAAAAACCAGCTGAGCTAAATAATATCAATATTTATTAAGTAATTAATGAATTTAGTTAAATAATATAATTTTTAGAAATGGTTAGAATTTAATTATTTTAAATAACTTAATTTCGAGTTCAAAATTCAGATTAAATTCTACACCAAATAAATGAAATTAGATTTGTTGAAAATCTTACAATCTGTGTGTTTTTTTTTAATCAGAGTAGCCAATTTTTTTGAGTTGATTCTGATAGTTATGAAAATCTAAAGAAATGGAAAACACTCAAGGAGGAGGGCAGGTTTAGTAAATATATTCAGTTTTTTTATATTCCTAACACATTCATTAAACACACTATACATGCATTTTACTCAATAAAAGGCATTCCTGCTATAGTGTATGAATCATTCCGTATTTAATATTTGCACATAAACGTTGGCTGTACATGCTCCACATGCTGTTCTTCTTTCTGATAAGTACAGTCATGATACACACCTCTCTATTCTGGAGTTTTCATACTGAAACGAGTCTTCATCTGCTTGGAAAATGATTCAGAGCCAACGTCAAAAACATGTTGTTTTCTAAAAGGTAGCCTATTAGATCACATGCATAAATAAAGGTGACATAATAAAAAGCAGTACAGAAAACTACACACAGCAGACTCAACATGTTATTATTCATTTACAGATGAAGCCAAAATTAGAACGTCTATAAGAAATTAAGAAAACTAGAGTCAATACAGAACACACAAATCACTAAGGGTAAAAGAAAAAACTGTCACTGACAAATGAAGGTAAGTTTTATTTCCTGCTTTGGTTAAATAAAGAGCTAACTTCGTATTTCTTTACATAGTTTTGTGTCTCATAAACCAAGCTTCTGTGGATCTTTTTTCATTTCTACTAAATTGATTTTTCTTTCTGAAAATACATTTTACACAGCACATTGTATTTGACTATTTGATATATATTAAACACAGCAAAAACCTTAGAGGAAAATAGTGCATGATAGGAAGCACACAGCCTTACCTTCAACAATAACTCACCACATATTATAAACTGGCTTGTATTACACAAATTAATCTCACACTTGGCAGTTCATCGATCTGCTGTTTCAATGTTGCTTATTTGCAATCATGGAGTTCATTAATGGAGAAAATTATCTAAGCAACCCCAAGGTGCTTCAGCTGGGGAGGAGAGTGTTAAACAAGCTGCAGGGAGGGAGCTGTGGCTACATATGCATGGAGTTTGCTGGAACAGACTCCCCTATGGGGCATAGGTGGGAGAGTTAGCAGCATGCAGCTCTCAGCCCAGCACTCTAATAAATCATGTAATCCCTGATACTGGAAGACAAACATGAGAGCAGATCTAATCAGGACTTGGCAAGATCCTTTTATCTGGGCCCATCTCTGCTTGGTCGCACACAGTACACAGTCCCGCGCCCCACATATGACAAATACTGAAGCCTCTGATAGTCAGTGATGAATGAGAGCTGGCAGGGACAGGCTGCAGGGCTGCAGGGCTGCAGGGCTGCAAGGCTGCAGGGCTACAAGGCTACAAGGCTTCCACCACTACTGCAAACACAGCCAACCTGGATGTCTGGTCTTCAAAGTAAATAGCTCAGAAATATTTTGTTTTAAGAGCCTTTCTGATCTTTAATTCTGTGAATTTCTGATGGTTACAAAAGTTCTGTGCTGATGCCATTGTTAGTGCCTGAAATATTCACTCACTGAGGAATATATTAGTATTTTTACATTTAGAAGTCTGTCTTCTTCTATTCTTTCCTAACAAGAGTGTTTGCTCGGATTCATAACCACAAACTTATTGTTCAGTTATGAGCAAAATAAAGTGGGCATAGAGACACACACACACACACACACACACACACACATACACGTATACACACACACACACACACACACACACACACACACACACACACACACACACACACATGTTTGTGTTGGTATCTTTGTGGGGACTTTCCATTGATTTCCATTCATTTCTACAGCCTAAACCTTACCTGTACCCTTTTCCTAACCCTAACCATCACATACCTAACCCTAACCAAAACTCAATTCATACCTTAGTCCTAACTCTGTGGATACATGTGGATTTTTCTGTGGAATGTAGCTTCAAGTGAGCTTATCTAAAACATTCTAAAGAAAATGCCTTTAGCTGAAGCTGACATACCTCAGCATAATGCTACTTAACACTAGTAGCTAAGTCTGCTGTAAGTCAAGTCAATAAAGAAGTGCCATTCATTTTCTGATTTGTTGTACACCTAAGAGCAGAAAAAAAGAACATTTTCAAGCTATCTTAGCATAATCACAGGTCCTGTATTATTATATTAAGATATATTACATGTTTGAACTACTAAAATAGGCAGCTAGAGGCATTTTTAAAGGGGATCTCAAGTTTTCACTGATTTTTGCTATTCATGGCTGGTTGTGGTCCTTATCAGGTGTCCACTATAAATGTTATTATTTTTAACAATGGAACTTAGTTTTTTATCCTGTGTATATTACTATGTTAACATTTGCAAATGATCCTGTGTTAAAAAGCTTAATTGATCATAATGTAGAAAAAAACATTTTTAATTAAGTTAATTGCAGGGTCTTTAATTAATCAATAATCAGTCATATTTTAAGAGAAAACAATACATTGAAAAAATAAGCAACATTTCCAATTCCAAAACCATTTTTGCTGCTAAAGTATTGATTAAATCGACATATAATTTATGTATTTAAAAACAATAATTTACCATTATTTATCGTTCTGTTATTTAGGTCATTCAACCATCAGATTACTGCAAAGGGCCATTCCACCTATTTAGTTTTCAAGTGTTTGAGGAATCACTTGAATCAGTCACTGAAATGTGGACCATGGATGCTGACGTTAGTGTTGGAGACGTCTGTGCTGCTGCATCATGTTTAGCATTGAGATGCTATTTTAAGCCTGAATAGCTTTACTGTTCGGCCTCCCTATAGCAACCTGAACACAACATGTCCAAGTTGTGCTTAAAAAAAAAACAGTCCAATCAGATTGTTTTATTGAAATGAACACCCAGTGGGACAGGAGAAGCAGTTTTATTGTCCAGTGCTGCTGTATGCAGAGGTTGTTTGTCCATAAAAATTTATGTTTGTACTAGAAATACGCAAATTCTATACCAAAAAAACTGAGTTTAAAAAAAATGTTTGAGTTAAAATCTATGTAACCATCTAATTAAAATGAATGTGTTAAAGTCCCAGATCTAGTAATATTATTTTTTTCTTTATGAAAATAGATTTTGTTATATCTTTATATTGACATCAAAACAATTTTATATTGACACTGAATACTGGCTCAGTTTGTGTGTTCCTTATAAGAGCTTCCTACCACACATATAGATAAATTG